AGGGAAATTAAGTGGAAATTTCTGTAGAACTCTCTTTCTTAATGTGACGCCTTTGTGTTGCTTCTGGGCGTTGATGTTGCTGCTGTGCACAGAGCATCGCATGATCAATTACTTGGCCACATGACCGACTGACAGACAACCAGATCTGCAAACAATGGGACCCGAAACACGAAACACGAAACACTTGCAACAGCAACACCAGCAGTCCGCATTGTATTGTATTGTATTGTATGTGCGCTGCAAAATCATGTGAGAAATGTATTAAAATTGTTGCGACAGCGAAATGCAAGCAAGCAAATTGTAGCCAGTAGCCCTTGGAAGTGCCCCCCTAGCCACCACCCCTGGTGGCACCCACGCCAGTGCCTGAGAATGCAGCGCGGGGTCAAAGTTTGCTGCAGCTGCAACAGTTGGTGCTGATGTTGCTGGTGTTGCAGTTGCCGCTGCCGCCGCCGCCGCCGCCGCCGCCGCCGCTTCTTGTTTGCTGTGTGTGGCATCTTCTGGAGCGGATTCCCATGAACTGGTGGCGCCCTCAGGCAAAGAAGAAGAAGAAGTGCAAGGGGGGTCATGTGACCACGAATGCTGACATGCTGACATGCTGCTGATGCAGATGTGCAGTGCCAGAACTAAGCATTACTTTCTCGTCACCCTTCAAAACATGTTGGCGCCTTGTCCGATTGGTTTCAAGTCTCAGAAAATTGACTGAATATTTCTTTCTTTATTCCAACACAAAGTTCATACAAAATAAAATCGAAAATGTGTTTGAATAAATATTTTAAATATTTAAATTAAATCGCCTCTTGTTATTATTATTAATACTAATATAGCTGTGCTTTTAAAAATATGATTCTGAAGACTCTGTTGGTGCTTTGCTAAGAGAGCTAAACCATTGTCTGATCTATTTCTGCGAGTGCAGCAGCTAATATAAGAAACAACAGCGTGAGTTGTTAACTTTGCCGCTGTCAATGATTTTGTGGTGCGGAGCAATTGAATTGATGCTGCTGACTAAACATGGAGTGCGGCACACAGAAACTGGAATTCACGGGTGGCCAATACCCAATACCCAATACCCAATACCCAATATCCAATATCCTCTATCCAGCATCCACTATCCACTATCCACTATCCAATGGCCACTGGCCAGTGGATCACGACCAAGCCCTTCGCGAACGTGAGATGCCAGATAAATCAGTGCTGCAATAGATGCCCTATTGCTAGTTGCTAGTTGCTAGTTGCCAGTTGCCAGTTGCCCTCCGAATCCAAATCCAAAATCACTGGGCTAATGAGCGGACGAGCGGCAGTTGATGCGCCTCAGCTGCAACATGTTGCTGGCGGGCAGCACGGCGGCAACCGCAGCAACTGCAGCAACAACAGTGATAAGCCAAGGCATAGAAAGTTGAATGACTCAAGGGAACCGACTCGAGAGCAAAACAGAGTGCCCTCGTCTTCGTCTAATCGAAATCGAAACACAAATCAGTTTGTGAAAAGTCGCAAAAAGCCAGAAAAGGTAGAAAACAATGGTGGAAAACATTTTGCGAGTCGAGAGCATTGACCTACACTGACAAAAATATTATACGCTAACTAACTTATCAGTATCAACAATTAGTACTAAGCAGGGCTAGTAGTTTTAGGTAATTTCTATGATTTGTACTTAATAGTTTCCTACTACTTCAGTATTTGGCTACAACTATCTATTACAATAAGTATTGGTATTATCTACTAGTGTAACGTTTTAAATTTATTACATTGATATGAGTTTATTAAATCAAAAACAGAGTGAGTAAACTTCTCTCAAAGAAAGAGCGAGACCCAACATATACAAATGTTTATAAGCAAGCAGATTGCATCGACATAGAGCTATAGACGCCTCCATATGTCAGTCTTGATAATGATTATGACTTGAGCCTCACTCCACCCCCTTTTAGCGGGCAAAGTTCCCCCCACGTTCGATTTGACTTGTGTTTTCGGCTGTCCCTGACATCGGAGCTGGTTTATTCCATCGACTATACATCGACTATAGAGTATAGACAGTACAGACGATGATGATGATGATGATGATGATGATGAAGCTGCCTCCCTGTCATTGTCAGGCGCAATTAATTGAGCTTTAATCGTGTCTTGGTCGCGGTTCTTGTCTTGGGATCTGTTTTGCAATCGACAGAGTTCAAGACCTGAGCTTATCCCACCGATAATTCGCAGACAAGCGGCTAAAAATTTACAAAATTTGTGAAATTATAAAAACGGACTTAAGATAATTTTGACAGTCTTTTTTGGAACTTCCATGAATCATTTGCAAACTTTAGTAATATGGAATAATTGTGCTTACAAAAATTGTGAAATAATTAATACTGACTAAACCAAAGAAACAATGTAAATATAATTTTATTTGTTAATTTAGGATGAATAATTTTTTAACTAAATTCATGTTGAATATTTATTAAAATTCGGAGCAGTTTTCTCAATAAACGAATAAAACTAAATACATTGTAAAGATAAATTAAAATATTTCTGTGCCGTTTCTGTGCCGAACACTGTTGATGGCTTCTCTGAATTTGTTTAAAGCAAGTTTTACACGTAGAAGATAAAGTATCTGCCATTTTTTGCCTCTGACTTAGCTAGAACGAATCAGCGAAAATTAATACCGGCTATTATCAATTTAGTCGTTCGGAAATTCATCTTTTGGTCGCCGATAAAAAAAAAAAACTCTCTTAGAGCCTTTTAATATCTGAATGCGAGTTCGCTTGACGTCTTTTTAATTTTAGCCACACTTCTACCCGCCCATCCCCTCAACATTTTTGTGGTCGTTGAAGTTTTCATTGTTCATAAATTTTAACGGACTTATAATGATTATCATTTATATGTCTTCGTCGCCAACTCGTTGCGATTGTTGTTATTGCAGTTGTTCCCCGTTTTTATTGCCAGATGAAAACAAGTAAAAAAAATTGCGTTTAATTTAAGCATTTTTTGCATAAGCGCGAATTATGAACGGCAGTAAAAACAAGACAACGAAAAAAAAAAAATGACAAAAATTAATAACAACGTCTGTCGATTGCAACAGGCGCTAATTTGATTTTTGTTGCTGCTGCGGCGCCCCAGCAACTTGCAATATTGCAACAATTGTTGTTGGCTCTCTGGGTGTTTATTTACGTATATTTACGTATATTTACTTTTTTATTTTGTTGCTTTTTTTTTTTTCGTTGCCGTCTGGGAGTTACATTTTGACATTTAAACTTGTTTTTGGCACTTCGCGGCATTTCTCACTCGTTTTATTTTTATTATCTTTCTTGATTTGCTCTTCGCTGGCTTTCTGGCTGCTTTCTTGATTGCTCGCTTGATTTCTGGACAAGTTTCAGCCCGGGGCCCTACCACCCAAACACCCCTGCCTCGGGGTCCCCAAACGCCCGTGAAATCCATTAGCGAACGCGATCTTGAATGTCTAGTAGGCGACATAGAAAATTTCGTGCCCCGATGCAAATTTCAGCTCATTTATTGAGCCGCTTATATAAACAATTTGTTGGGGGCATTGGTTTTCGTTCGGTTATTTTGTTTTTTGTTTTTGTTTTATTTTTTCAATATCTGTAGCTTACAATACAATCTTAGTGGAGGCTTTACCAAAATTTTCCTTGAAAAATCAAAATGTCAAAGTTGTTTGATTTTCAAATCAGCAGCAAAGCATGCTATTAGATACATCTGATGTGTCTGTCTCAACGTTAGAGATGCGCGGAATTTTCTTTCAACACAAAAGAAAATGCGCTGAATTGGAGTATCTGAGCTGTCACTACAACAGAAAGTGGAAAAAAAGAACTTTTAACTTTTGCATAACAAATAATATAGAAATTATATCTATATAATATAAGTTGACAAAAAACTATTAGTTTTATTGAATGTAACAGTTTAATCTGCGTTTTAAAACTTTTCATTCAATCATATATATTTACAAAAGTTGTAGCTTACATATCGATTTTTATTGTCAAGTCTGGTTTGCTATACAATAAAATTATTTTATTATTTTATACCTTTTCTTATTTCGAGGTTCTTTTTTGCCAACTCGTGACACAGTTAAATGCACGTCACGAGTGTACATCTCTGCTCCGCCCCGCCATCCATCTGAATCCGTGGGATTGAAATAGACACATGGCATTGCGTGAGGGTTAAAGAGGGGGTCGATTCTGATTGGGGTTCGGTTCGTTCATCGAGGCGTAGAATTAAACTGTCAAATCCAACAAATAACTGGATTTGTAACACTGAAATGTTCGAACACAACCAAAAAAAGAACCAGGAGCAGAAAGGAAGAGATGGATGATTTGGATGATAAAGGGAATGGAATAGCTTTAAGAGATTTAAGATTCCCAAGGTATCAATTATATATAAATTAAGACCTTTAAAAGGAAAACAACTACATTTTTATTAAAAAGCATATCACAGAAACTATCACAACAATCTCTGAATATAATTTGTTTGTGATAAACCTTTATAAATTAGCGCTGTAATCTTTGTTCATTTCCTGCTTTTTGATTTTTGTATGGTCTTATAACTATAAAGATTTTAAATCAAATATGTCGCAGCTTTTAAAGTACTTACTTCCGCACAGAAACAATTATAAAACCGATAATTAGTGTGTTAAAAATAGTTTAATGACCCACTTAACTTACTCACTTAAACCGGACAAGTCCTTTCCAAAAATATACAAATCGCACTATTAATGCCCTTGAGAACTCAACTTGAGTGAATTATTTCTTAAAGTTTTGGGGCGGGAGAACTACTTAAATACTTATCGTTTTCCGGATGTTGTGTACATATTCGAAAACTAAAATTCTTGGAATTTATATTCAAGGTCGACTAATTTGTTTAGTGCGCCATTTGAGATTTCCTCTTGACAACTGGACCAACACCATTTCCTCACTTTTTCCATTTCTAACATTTTGTTTATCAGCAAAGACTACATTGAATTTGATTTCAAATTCACAAGGCTTTAATTTGCTTATGCTTCTCTTTAATTGCAGATTAACCCCAACACGCCCAACAAAAACCACCGAAAAGAAAAATATATTGTGCATCCTGCAAAAAGATTGTCGTCCAGATTGGAAAGGACTTTTTTGACACTGCCTACCGCCCACTTCATATATCATTTGTCTTTATGTGGCCTGATTTGGGGTGAGTATTGGCTTTTATGGCCAGAGATATTAAAGCATAGCAAACGATATAGCAATGTCCATTTTTTCAAAAGGCTCTTTTGTTTATGTTTGGCACATTTCGTCGATAGATGTCTTAAATTCTCTTTAAAAGGGTTTTTGTTTTTTTTTTTTGAGCAAGCGTGTTTATATAGCATTCAAAAATAATATTTGAGTGACCTTTTGAATCAAGTGCTTTAATATTACTGTGTTTTAATTAAAAATAAATTTTAATGTTTTTCATTAATATGTCATTAAAATGTCTACAATACCCAAAGAAGGGTATTAAACCAATTGGTTTTCGTTTAGCTTTTCCATTTTCCGTGCATATTTTTCAGCTGATAAATTTCCTGCCATAAATCGCGAACAGGAACAATTTCGCGGGGGCGTTGACAAGTTTTGCCAGCACAAGCACAAGCACCCCACCCAAAAACCCACTCACATTTCCCACCCACTCTTCTGCTCGTTTCTGTTCGATTCAGTTTTTCTTTTTCGCACTTTTCCTTCGTTTTCTCTGTTTTAGTTGATTAAACACAACTGTTTACGCTTGCTTATTGCTGGCTTCTGCTGAGAATGCATTTTACGGCCAGTCCGCATTTTGTTTCATATTTTATAGTAACACTGGCTATTTGGGGGTATACGGTATTAATGGGGTTTTCAAAAGGGAATGGGAATACTTCCGACCTGAATAAAAATCGACAGCTAAATGGATATCTTTCATTTGCGATTAGGATTATTTATTGCAGTTCTCTTAACAGCTACAAAAGTTAGGATTTTATTTAATTGTTACTCATTTCAGTTATAATTTATTACACTAATACATATTTGAGAACTTTAAGAATAATAGAAAAAAAGAATACAAAAAATGTATTAAATTTGCTTCGTGTTTTAAAAAACCAAATATTTTCAGATACCAAATTTTTACCCATATAAATTTTTTATATTTTTATAAAGAGTATTGAAAATCTTCACTCTAAAATTTTTATTTGCTCCTGATGTTTTTTTTTTTTGTTCTCGACGCGATGCCGACTGTTTCTTTATCACAATGGCCATAAATTATGGGAACTCCGAAAAGTTCGGTGTGCATTAATATTGCAAGTGTTGTTGCTATCGTTGGTGTTTGTTGTTGCTCTTGTTGTTGTTGCTGCTGTTACCGCACATTGTATAAAAGTTACAAAATCCAAATTAATGAACTCGTCGATTTGGCAAGCATCGTTCGTGCTGGTTCAATAACATTTCAATTGCGTTGACATAATTTTAATTAAAATAAAAACGAAAACAAGTGCCAGCATATCGGGTGCCAGCAACACACACACAATGAATTTAAAGAGTTCGCTGAGTCGCGTAAAAAATTGGCAAACGGGGTTAACCAAGCTAAAAAAAAAAAGGTTAAAAACCAGGGGCTTGCGATTTACATTGGAATCGCACTTGCCAGGGCTGCATGGCTAATTTTAAACGATTTTAACAACCCAATCACGACAAAAGAACGGGAAAGGTGCCTGTGAACCTCTCTTTCTGCCCAACGCCTGCCGTCTCTTTCTCTGCCTTTGATTTTAACCCGGAAGCGATAGCAACAGCCGACGAACAGCTCCGATAACTGACCGTCCACCAAAAGTCCAATGAATAAAACATAAAGTCGGTACATACGTAAATAAGAAGCCATGTGAGCAGAAAAGCAGCATGCACTTGTCTCTTTCATCTCACACATTGCCGTCTCTTTCTTCTGTCCCTGCTCTTGCTCTTGACTAGATTGCGGCGCTTGCAATGCGTATTTTACCCGAAATCAGCGTTAATTCGCGTAATCTACTGAATGTAATGGCTCTATGTAAAAAAAAATTACCACAAATAAAAGAGTTTAAAATATTTAAAATCCAGTGTCGTTTAAGTTTTGTGCAAATAATCTTAAGAACACAAAATTAACATTGATTCACAGGCCATTTGCTTTATCATAAGGCTTAGGAAACTTCATTGATAAAAAAAATGTTATCTCTTTTTAGTGGAGGTCATAAATCTTGCAAAACAAGACGAGTTTAAGGTGTGGTATTCGCTTATAGAATATAGTTGTTATAAACGAGAATAAATAGTCTCTAAGAAACCAAATTTGAAGTCAGCAAAACAAATATACGACTTTTTTCATATCAATCTATGTCACTGTGTCAGCTTACAAAAGTTGCAATAAAATGATGTCTTAATGTATCTCAAAAATGTAGATAATATTTTTATGGGTCCAAAAAATGCTGGCAAGTGTGGGTTAATTCCACCACACAGAGCCATTAAATTAATCTGTTGAACTTGCTGGGCCTCGAACCCATTCAGCCGCATCATCAATTTCAGTTCGTGTAAACTCCTCTCATTTTGTATGGGGTCCAACCGATTTAATGCAATAACAATACAAATTATTTATCAATTAAGCTGTTACATTTAATTGAATTCAACTCAATACTGTTCATACATGTGCTCAGAAAAAAAAAAACAGCACAAGCCCCAGAGTTCTTGCCACGAAAATTTATGCGAAAAGTTCAATTGCGTTCAAAATGTGAATAATTCGAGGTTGTTGTTCTTGCTGCCTGTTATCAATACGTCTGATGTATTTTGAGAATTTTCTCATGAATTTTGCATGTGACAATTTATTTATTTATTGATTTACTTTGCATCCAGCAGCGGGCGAAAACCGCGAGCTTTGCCCATCCTATAAATTGGCTTGGGCATTGCAGACGCATAGATACGGATACGTAGATACTCGTACATAGACACTCACTGTGAGCAATGTGAGCACTGTGAGATTGTTTTCACATCCATGTCCATTTCCATTTTCATTTGCATTCGAAACGTGTCAAAGGTGTTGGCAATTTTGCAGTCAATTGGCATTAATTGAGTGTGAACACAAAAATATTTTTGTAAATTGCCGAGGCGGGGTCGATGGGTAAAGGGGCGTGGCGGCCTCTTGGGGCAGCTATCGATGTTATTGTTGTTGCTGCTTTTGCCGCCTGTTTTTACCGCAAATGTGCCGCGCAATATGCAAATTGATTTGCCGAACAATTCATTTGAAAATGCGTTGTATAAGCCGCAAAGCTGCTGCAGCCCGCAAAACACAAAACACAGAACACAGAACAAAACAGCGGCCGGAATCGAACTGAACCGAAAACCCCAAAAGCTGAATGGCAATTGCCAAAAATGTTTGCGAAAAGCGCGGCAAAAAGTTGTTGGTCAATTGAAAATGTTACAAACAGATCAGGATGCTTTTTGATAATTAAAATACTTTTTTCTACCTCTTTGTATCTGTAAAATCAGACCTATTATTTGTGTAATTTATTGTGTTCAGAAAAAGGGTCTCTCTCATTCTGGAAAGGCATCGGTCTTGTCTATATTCATTTTTCTTACATTTTTAAATGGATTTATATTTATTTATCCTTTTTTACATATTTAATAACTATGTTTTTATTTGTATATGTGTTTGCATTTTTGTATGATTTTGCAACTCTTTAACTGCATCAACATAAATAAATAGAAAGAAACTGTAAAGCTATATTCGGTTTTATTTTGTTCCATACATTTTTTAGTTAATCTTAATAGTTTCATTATATAAAATAAGTCTTGAATGCTATTTAAATTGAGTAAACATTTATAAATCCTAAAAATAAACTAAATTTAATTTATAAACCGAATAATAATAAAGAAATACATATATTTTTTACGTAAAAAACGTGAAACCAATTCAATCTTCTTCCAATCCGCCCGCCAAGTCATTCAACGGTATTATTAATTAAAGCCTCACAGGCGGTGTACAAAAATGGAATTCCTTGAAGAACCGCCATTAATTACAAGAATTACAATTTTAAAATTCAAATTAAATAAGAGTCGTTAAAACCACGCTCTTCAGACCGGTTCAAACCGATAACCTTTAGGATTGTCATGCAATCGAGGGTCTTTCCACTGCGATTTGCATTCAATTGAGAATATTCACGAACCGGTTCAATTGCGCCATCCTCACCCCTTTTCTTCAGGCGGTACGCAATTGAAAATATCCACAATATCCAAACAAACGGTCCGAGTACCGTTTCAAAATCTGTTTTTCCATTCAGCTCACATGGCCAGTTAATTTGGCAATTTTTCTATGTTTACACGACGTCGCCCACGAAGGCAAAAGGCGAAAAAACCAAAAAAGCCGAAAATTCAAACAATGAAATATGGCACAAATAAAGGTTTGGCCTTGAATTGTGCGCCACATACGCGAAAAGAAACACAAATCAACGACGTAAATAAATAATAAACAATTGTTTTCTCTTTTTCCCTTTTTTTTTCACCCTTCCTCGATTTTTTTTTTTTTTTTTATTTCGCTGTTGATTGGCCCCTCACGAACTCTGCAGTGTGCTCATTGGGCGTTACATAAATAAAAAAATAAAAAACCTACAACTAAAATGCCAACACAATTGATAAAACTGCAACAAGCGTTGTTCATAAAACATCGCATTAAATTAAATTCCCTTTCGGACTTTCGTTTCGGTATCATTCCGGTCATTTCCATTCCGATCGAACGGTTGCCAATAGTTTGCATATTTCATAAAGCCATTCGAAGGCTATTTCAATTAGCTGATTTCGAGCTTTGACTATGCGGTGGCATAGTTTAGGTTTTGAATTTTTCCCGGCACATTTCATTTCGATTCCTAGAAACCGACGCATTACTTAGTAATTATGAAAAGGGGTATGCGTTATTTAAATATATATATATTTTTTTTGTCGAATTTGGAAAGGTGTATTCAAAGAAGATTTCAAAACCACTGTCCAAGAAAAGGAATTTTTCTTGTCTATAAGTATTTGAAAATTCAGAAAGAATTCTAACTCAGAAGTAATGATTTAAGAACCAACAACACATGCTTAAAGTTTTATTTACTAACTGTATGTATTGTGACTTTCTGTACGATTGAAAGATATACGGTTGATATCTGCTTTAAATTGCACGGCAGTTATCGTCTTAACGGTCAT